CTCATGATGATCAGTATTCATTACTCATGATGATCAGTATTCATTACGCATGATGATCAGTATTCATTACTCATGATGATCAGTAATCATTACTCATGATGGTCAGTAATCATTACTCATGATCATCAGTAATCATTACTCATGATGATCAGTATTCATTACTCGTGATGATCAGTATTCATTACTCATGATCAGTATTCATTACTCATGATCATCAGTAATCATTACTCATGATGATCAGTAATCATTTATCATGTTTTTAGTTAGAATTATTAAATGTAAATTATAATCATAATCAATCAGATATTTTAACATTACACAATAATTGTATATTACCTGATGTTCCTTACATAAAAATGATGATTCTATTTATTTTTCACAAATTTATTGCAAAATTAGTGCAAGAGTAACATTTTAAACATGTAAATCTTAGTAAACATTTCACCATGTTAAAAATTTTAAACATGAATACAAAAGTAAATCTGAAAAACAAAAATGTTAATATCGTGTGCAAAGGGAAACATGCTTGCATAACATCTTTATCATTTACATCATTAATCTGGTCAAAAGACGAGCATGGAACTCTTGAGTGGCTCCGACACTTACACCGCCTAACAAGAATGAGTGTCCCTACAGTTCTTTTATTTGGAAGCCTCAACGATTAGACAAAAAAAAAAAAACTAACTAGCATGGTGGCACATTAATTGTTTAAAACAAGTAATGATGAACAGGAAATTTTCTGTGTAATAGTTACAGTTTTTTCAGTGTGTAAATGTAACCGGCCCACACTTTACAACACTTGTTCACATTCTGTTTGTATTTTAAAGATGGCGACAAACTGAACTTCAGCAGTAAAAACACTAAACTTCTAGCTGCTAAATAATACTAATTAAAAAAAACTTCATCTAACCAAAAACAGAGCACATGCACCATTTTACACAAGTAGTTGATTTTTCAGTGTTTGAATTCTTGGCTTACACTCAGTACTTCCCAAATGAAAAGATATCTGTTGAATGAACAGGAGGGTATTTCTGATTTTCTTGGGGTAGTTCAGGTGGAGTCCATATGTGAGCCCAAAAAGGAGACCCACAGCTTCTGGCAGGGTCATCAGCTTTTCCACAAC